AAGCTGAGATGTAGTAGACATTATCCATGGGGTTGGGGGGGTGGAGATGAAGTGAATGATACTTGAAGTTACTCAGAAGCTGGGTACTGGCTCAGAAGGGACTGAGCAAGACAGCTGAAGTGAGGCTATTTCTTACCAAAAGAAGTCTCCGGTTGAAACGGAAAGGCCATGGTTACAAGGGCTTCCGGTCACTGTGGCAGTTCAGAAAGAAGACAGTGTAATTATGCAAAATTGTCAAGATAAAAACCACAGGCATCTTGCATTATTCAGCTTTGAACTGCTGGTTTCTAGTTCTCATTGTAAATTAGTGGCTCTTTTATATCTCACACAAAAGGAGCATTGCTTACAGCCAGCTGTCTTGCAATTATATTTCTGTGAAGTTAGCATAATTTGACATTAGAAGTGCCTAAGGGAAGAAGAGGGTGACAGTGGTCCCGGGTATTGGAGTGGAGTCAGGAACAGTAGTGGAAGGAGCCCCACCCCAACCCCGTCACAAGTAGATTGTCTTCCCGAGGTTCATCCTGAAGCCAGCAGTTCTGAATTCAAAACACATTTTCTCACAGGAGTATTGTTTTGATGTTGTTAGATTAGCCCAGAAGTCCTCCAATACCAGAAAAGAAAGAGATGTAGGCGTTGCAGTAGCACAAAGGAAAAGGCTACAGGGCAGAGAAAGGTTTGTCTGAAGGTTCTGACTGAGAAAACCACCAGTGAAATCTGCAGGGGAGAGGTGACTTTTAGACCACACTCACAAGGGGAAAAGAAAGAAAGGGCATTTCAGGCTACAGGGCAGGCAGTTCAAAGACAGGGCATTTTGAATTCTCTGTGCGGGAAGTGAGTATTAAGTAGGAGCTGGGTACAGGCTCTGTGGAAATGAGATGAGTAAGTTGGGGTGGGGCTGTGAATGCCCTGGTAGAGTTTGGATTTTTTTTTTTATGTTGGCAAGACATGAAAGACTTTTAATGAGAGAGCTAGTGTGATCGAGTATCATTTTCAGAATTCTAGAAAGACCAGTTTGAAGCTGAGGCCATGGTCATAAGAGAGATTGGATTTCTGAGCTTGAGATGTGGCAACCAGTTAGAAAGAGGGAACCAACCAGAGAGACAAGGTGAAGGTGAATTAGCAGGATGCGGTGGCTAACTCTTCATGGGAGATGGAGAAGAAGGAATCAAAGATGGCCCCAAATCAGGCAGGACTCGTGGCGCAAGAACAGGAGAGGTAATGAGCCCAGCAGGTTTCTGTCCCAAGGATAGAAGAAAAGCTGAGATGGTTAGGACCCTACAGCACAGCATGTGGGCTGCACTTCTGTTTCTGCAAAGTTTGCCCACAGTGTCCCCGTAACTGAAGGAAAACAACTTCCTGAATTTTACACTTGCTTCCAAAGTCTTCTTCCAAGGTGATTCTATATCCTTTTTTGGGAATGTATCTCTACATGTTGAAACTGTGCCAGTGACACCAGTGTTGGGGAAAACACTGCATTCCAGTGCCAGACTCTATGGCCAGAAACTGTTTAACTGAGGTGGCAGTAATATTGGCAGCATAAGGTTATACTCTGGGTGCCTGAGGAAAGTAGTGTAGAGAAAAATCCTATTAAATGTGTGTTAAAATAGTATCAAATGTGGTTAAACTGAAAAAAAAAGTCCTTGAGAGTCTTGGGGCCAATGAAGGGACAGAAGAAAATAAAGAAGGATCAGCTCATACTAAGAGAGAGAAAAGAGGGAACCAAGGGAGAGTTCAGTGGGAAGAGTGCTGTCTTGGTCTGGAGATAAACAGAAGATGGATGGATGGATAGATGAATGATAGATAGAATGAATGATAGATAGGCAGATGATAGAATGAATGATAGATAGAATGATAGATTAATTGATAGAGTGATAGATTAGATAGAATGAAAGATAGATGATTGAATGATAGACAGAATGAATGACAGATTCACTGATAGAGTGATTAATTGATAGATAGATAGATAGATAGATAGATAGATAGATAGATAGATAGATAGATAGATAGATAGATAGTTAGAACTACTATAACAGAATGCCATAGACTAGGCGGCTTAAACAACAAATATTTCTTTTCACCGTTCTGGAAGCTGGAGGTTCAGAGATCAAGGTACCAGCACGATCAGGTTCTTGGTGAAGGCTCTCCCTGGCTTACACGTGTCTCCTCATTATACTCTCATGTGGCAGAGTAAAAGGTCATCTCTCTCATGTCTCTGTATAAGGCTCCACCCTCATGACCTAACAACTCCCCCAGGACCCCACCTCCTAATGCCATCACACTGTGGGTTAGGATTTTAACATATAAATTCAGAGAGGACACAAACATTTAGTCCATAACAAGCGTCAGGACAATGCCTGCGAAGGCGGTACCAAGAATCAGCTGGAAGAGAGAGAACTTCTGGCGTTCCACTTGATCGCCTTACCCAGCCTCCCCATTCCCATTCCTTCCATAGACAAAGTCACCACATCAGCCAAGCCTGTGCACAGCACGGTGCATGGTAGAGAAGAAGGGAACCACAAGAAAATCGGGGAATACATGTGTTACCACTCTTCTTACTCCCTGACCAGAAGAGGGTGGCAGGTCCAGTGTAACCAGGGTATATCGGCTGGAGGGCAGCGGGATGGGATGCAGTACCTGAAGGACCACGTGGAGGTGAGCGCTCACTTCTCCTGGAGCTAAATGCTGAAACATCAGGCCCCCCCATCTTCAAGTGTCTGGCTCCTTGCTGCCATTCGGTTCTTAGTTCATACCTGGCCTCCTTGGTGAGGACGTTGCCGATCAGTCTTCCTAAATTACCTCGTTCTCTCCCAGGCACTGATTCCATCCCCTCAGAGCTCCTAGTGAAATCTGAAATTATCTGGTTGGGTTTTTAATTTGCTTACTCAGATGGCAGGCGCACAAGGAATTTTCTCGTCATTTACTGTGTTAAATGAATAAAATAGTCATCGTGCTTCTCTTGCAAAAACGTGGGCCTTAATTAGGTTGATAAAATTTCAACATATGAACAAAGGAGGCATAAACGTTGATTTATGGGTATTTTGTCAGTACCAAGGAGTAACTAGAGACTTGACCATCTTTACAAAAGTTCAAGGGGCTGGGAAGGAGGACCCAGGGAACTTCAAAAGCAAACAAGGGCTCTGAAGCAAAAGAGTCAACGTTGCCTGTGAACAGCAAGATAGATTATCAGAGGAAAAAAAAAAAGTGCCATTTTCCCCTTCATTTGCAATTATTTACAGTGTGTTTTCTTGTTTGTTTGTTTGTTTTTTTACTAACCAACTATTTAGTTGATGCAGTTGGTTTCTCATCTCCTGGTCTGACTTTTAAAGATATTCTTCATTTCAGTGAAAATCTTCATTGCCAGCCCCTTGACCTAATGTAACATTAAAAACAGAAACAGACCCCAGATGACACTCACCCAAGTAATGCGGGCTTTGGGGCGATGGGAAGACGCCAGGACTGAAAGTAAGGAGACCCAGATTATGAGGCCCTAAATAAGTTCCACTTACTCATTCAACAAAAATTGAACAGTACCAGGTACTGTTTAGTAAATTCAACTAGTGAGTATGGCAGACAAAATTTCTGTCCTTCAGAAGTCATGTTGCTCTAAGAGGGGACAGGCAGAGGGAGAGAAAAACCACATTTTCTGGCCTACAGTTGTATCCTGTAAATAGTATGTGAGCCTTAGGCTAGATGATCCATGAAGTCTCTCCCAGCTTCACAGGTTCTGGAAGAGAGGAAAGAAACTTTGGAAGGCTTGGTAGGGGTGATTTGAGGGAGTAAAATCATAGATGATTTAAATTGTTTTCTTCATTTTGTTTGTCATGGCTTTCTGATATTCTTTCTGTAATGAACATGCGTGGCATATCAGATGGGAAAATGTTTAAAAAAAAAACAGTAGATTTTACTATCAAGAACCTGAGCGCTGGTTCTTAACAACCTGAAGGTATGTCATTCATCCGTCAGTAATGAGAATCGTCTTACCCCTCCAGCGACTGACTTACTACTTTACCTAATGAGGCTTTGGGGAAACTGCTAAGGGAATCTTTCTGCTTCTTTTCTCATTACGTCTGTGTGTGCTACTGGCTTATTCCCTTTTCCCTGAACCCTGGAAGCTCTTCTCTACCTACGATGTTCTGACACAGGTCCTGGATCTGTTTCTCTCTCTCTCTCTCTCTCTCTCTCTCTCACACACACACACACACACAGCCTCTTCTCGTCCTTCAATATTCACATTTCACATTACACGGTACCCCAGGGAGAAGCCTTACTCGAGTGATCTAAGTACAGGTTTTCCATTCCTCCTTTAGACCCAGCATATCACCCCTGGGAGCACCTATCATATCCCTATCTGCTCTTTTATTCCGGAACACTCTTAATATACAATTTCATATGCATTTCTTTTCTTTCTAAGCGTGCTGTCTGTGTCCCCCACAAGTCAGAATTTCCATCCTGAGAACAGGGACGGTCTGTTTTGTTCCTGGCTCTGTCCCTAGGGCCTAACATTGGTTGAGCATATGAATAAATGAATGGATGAAATGGCCCCTTTGTCCTCTCTGTGTGTCTAGAGTTTTATTCCCACGCGGTGGTATACTGCAGCCAGTTCTTTGCCAGCTCACAAGAGCCAACTGTTAAATTTTCAGGAATTTAGTAGCCAGTTGTTAAACTGCTGGCTTGAAATCGGCCATGCAGAGAATATTTACACCATGGACGTTAGCAAATGCTACATGTCAAGACATTTTCTTTCTAAAGAGCTGGTTTAGCAGCACACCACAGCTCACGTCTCCTAAATCTGACCGTAAATATTGACATATCATGGCAAGAAGACATAGCCCATAGGTTACTTAAAATTTTTCAACCAAAAATGCTTGAAACTTTAAAAAATACTAAATATATGCTACGCAGTTATTTTCCTATTGGGAATACTGGCTCTTTGTATAAGCTACATTATAATCTAAAATATGTATCTCTGACCGCATAAAGTTTTTGTTTCTGTTTTTCAGATCCTTATGTGAAGATTCATCTGATGCAGAATGGCAAGAGGCTGAAGAAGAAAAAGACAACAATTAAAAAGAACACACTCAACCCCTACTACAATGAGTCATTCAGCTTTGAAGTACCCTTTGAGCAAATCCAGGTAATGTCAAACGTATTTTGTCTTTCCGTTCAATTTCATCTCTCCAGATCATATAGATTAAACACACAGACCTTACAAATGATCCGTGCACATGCCTCCATTAGAACTACCATTCTTATTCCCCCGCACATTTGATGCTCAAGTTACATCAAGAGCAACTTGACAAAATATGCAGCACAGGACGTGCTGATTCATCAGCCAAACCAGCAGAAGTGAAGCAGGAAAAAGAAAATCCACAGGACAACTTTACTGATTCAAAAAGTACATCCACGGAGGTTAAAAGGCCAAGAGGAAAATGAGTTTTCACCCTTTACTCCCCGGCCACAATGTGTAATTCTCATTCACGGATCTTTACAGCAAAAAAAGTGGTGATAAAGTAGCATTTTGGATGATGTTAAATATGCAGCCTCTGTAGTCTTTCATTATTCAAAAATGATTGACAGTGGATAAGTTAGGCCACGTTGTGTTTTAAATTGTTTAAATTGAGCTTCCTGTTTCCTAGTTGGAATGGGTGGGTATTTTTGTAAAGACAGAACCTGAATTTGTGAGGTGATCATTGTTATGACAGGAAGTATTCTTTTAAAAGACCTTGTGGTTACCATGTTCGAAGTAGTCACAACAGTAGCGTACGATCCTATTACTTGGAAATTTTTATATATATTTAGGTTTTCTCACCTCATATGCCTAGTTAGGCTATTGGAATTCACAGCTCACATCTAATCATTATAGGCTATTTTTTGCTAACTTTAATGGGTATCAAAGAGTCAAATTGCTTAAAGCAACTCTGTTTTTATACTTTCTTAAATGATTGATGTGAGCCTAGCTTTTCAGTCATGTAGAATTTTGTCTGTACCTTGAAGGAGAAATGAAGGGCAGCACGGAACCTTCTAAAGGACCAGAATGACAAATGTCAGCAAGCAGCCTTCACTTGCATATTTGTGCATTTAATCTATTCTCGAATCACTGCACCTTATGAGTGACCCACACCTTTATTCCATGAGACATCTAACAGAATAGCTGTATTTATTGTATATTTATTCTGTGCCTAGGCTCAAGTTAAGCACTTTACCTGCATAAACTCATTTAATCCTCACAAGCACCTTTTAAAAGAGGTACCGTTATTATCCAAATCTTATGTACAGAAAAGGAAACTAAGGCTTAGAACTGCCTCATATATAAAATAGGAATAATAACAGAATCCACGTCAAAGTGAGATTATGCATACAAACGCATCTGGAGCCGTGCTGAGCACATGGGAACATTCAGTAAATGGTCCCCACCATTATTACTCACAACATGAATGCTGTCTCTTTTTCAAATTAACGCTTTACTAGAAAATGGATCTAACAATAAGACTAAGGCAATACAGAAATCAGCACTAGACAGTTAAACTCCCTGTGAAGATGGAAATGTTTTATCATCACTCTTGTCCAACATGGTAGCCACCAGCCATAGGTGGGTAATGAGCATCTCAGCCACTAGTGTAATCAAGGGACTTTATTTATTTAAATTTAAACAGCAGCATGTGGCTAGTATCCACTGTATAATACAGGGCACCAATAAGCCCACCATCCTCACGTTAGTTCATGGTTCTGGGGTAACCTTTCTTACATACTTTTTCACATGACAGCAGATGGTGCATCCTTACTGACGCTCAGTGGCCGTGACGTAAGTTAACAGCATTGCAGAAGATGCTGATTCCCTGTCCCCAGTCACTTGTTCCCCAGCCTGAACCAGCGAGCTCACTGCTTTGGACCCACTGGCAACCTAAGACATCTAATTTTTTCCAACAATTTATTTTGCAATATTTGTTCAATGAATTTTTTTTTTGAGGTCTAAGACCACATTCTTATGGAAACGAATGCCTCCTGGCATTTTGTTTTTTAATTCTGCAAAACAATGTAAGTCAGGACATTGAGATGAAACGTTCTGTTGTAAACTTTCTCCTTTGAGCTACAGTTCTGTACCTTAAAAAAAAAAGCATGTCCCTTTTCAACTATAAATTTAAGCAAATGCAAATATATTGCAAAAAAAGCCCATTAAAAACAAGACATAACGCTGGGTTTCTGGGGCAGCCTCTCTGAGCAGATAACATTTGTCGGGACAGAGAGACCCTCAGCCCGATACCGAGTCCATGAGGCATAGAAATAATGAGCATGCCTTTGACTGCTTCCCTCCTCTCTGCTCCTTGAGCCAATTTGTTCTCTTCTTTTTTCCGTCACCGTTCCCCTTTCTGGGAGGCTGCTTTCCTAGTCGTTGCATTTCCCTAGAGAAAATAATTGAGCATTTAACGTGCCGTAGCAGGGGTTTAGGTTTCATTTGTCCTGAGGTTATAAGATGATCTGTCTTTCTACCTGTCTCTCTATCCCTATGAAATATGTTAATGAGAGAAGCAAAATCCACTGATTCCCAAAACCATTTGAAAATGTTGCACTCCCCACCCTCTCCCCCTAAAATGTATAAACCACACAGGCAGCTGAAAAAATTAACCCAACAGCTTTATAGAGATATTTTGTCTTGAGTGCTACTGGTCAATACATTCCTAGGCAAAATCATCAAAACTCACTCCAGCTATTCCCTCCAGCCTCTGAAAACCGTCCTTATCTTTATGCATGATGTCCCTAGTGTCCCTGCCCTCCACCCCCTGCAGTATGACTACATCCAGAGGAATTCTCTTGGGAAAAGTACTCAGAACCAAAGGGACTCTGTTCTTGGTTCCAAATGCCATCCAGTGACTAGGTTAATTTCCTTGATACGAAATCAAGCCAGGGCTGCACAAGGGAAAATGGAAATGTGTTTCCCTACTGCCCACGTGTTGCATTTTACATTCTAAGTTCCACTTTCTGACGTGATCATTTTCTTTGATCTGAACCTGTGTCTGGGCACCATCCCTCAACACATCGGTACAATAATGCAGTCCTTTGAGTACAAAGCCCACTAAAGGGCCATTACTGGGCAGAACTTCATCCAGTCCCGGCTTCCATCATTACATTTTCTGCTTCTTTTGACTCTGGCCACCAAACAATTCCTTTATCTTTTCCTTCAGTTTCTAGATTGGAGCCATTCGCATATTTTGACTAAGCAAATTCATTACTTAGGAAGTAATAAAATGTACTTTTTTCCTTTGAGAGTGGGGAGGTAATTAAGTTTTATTTCTTTATCTTAATAGAGGTACTGGGGAACTGAACCTATGCTAAGCATGTGCTCTACAACTGAGCCAGACCCTCCCCACTAAAATGTACTTTTAAAAAGGGATTCTTTCATGTCAAAATGGTATGGGTTTGCTTTCACCAGTTCAACAAGTAAGTCATGAAATAAACTCTCACAACCTAATGGAATCACTGTAGGCAATCTTGTGTGGCCTAAAAGGTTATTTCCGTTTGATGTCAACGCTGGATACACAACAGTAACTTAAGATTTATTGAGAGAATTTTATGAATGAGAAAAATTATCTTTTAAGTTACTGTTTTTCAGACCTTCACTCTATTGTCACATTCTGTACCCACAATAATCATGTGATTAGCTAAAATTCTGTATTGGTTTTATGCAACCTGAAACAGAACTGCAATATATGGTTGCTTTGAAAACCTCTTTGAGAGGGTGGAGGTAATTAGGTTTTGGTTTTTGTTTTTTTTTCAGTGGAGGTACTGGAGATTGAACCCAGGACCTCGTGCATGCTAAGCATGCGCTCTACCACTGATCTATACCCTCCCCCACTGAAACCATTCATTTCCTTTTCTTTTTAAATTGAAGTATAGTCAGTTCACAATGTTGTGTCAATTTCTGGTGTCCAGCCTGTTTCTGTCACACATATACAAATACATATTCCTTTTCATATGCTTATTCATTATAGGTCACTGTAAGATACTGAGTATAGTTCCTGTGCTCTACAGTATAAACTTGTTGTTTACCTATTTTATATATAGTAGTTAGTATCTGCAGTGTTTTATACATAGGAGTTAGTAGTTAGCATCTGAAACCATTCATGTCGTCTGTGACTTCAGGCAGATGATTTAACCTCTGAGCTTTGGCATCTTATCTGTATAATGGCGGTGTTAACAAGATCTACTGTAACTGAGTAGTGCACACGAAAGACTTAGAAGTGTGCCAGAATTAACATTTATTGAGTGTTTTGAAGATGCTGAAGCTGAAGCTGATGGTGGTGATGATGTAATAGTGGCAACAGGGATTGGACTCACTTCTCCTGTTCAGGTCATTTTCAGCCTTGCCCTGGTGTTTGGAGACTGGTTCTTATTTCCCATTGCTTGGATCTCCAGGAAGCTTGGTAGCAGGGCTTTGTCTCAGAGCCGGATGACTAAAGTTTATTTTGTGTCCTCTTTCAGAAAGTGCAAGTGGTGGTAACTGTTTTGGACTATGACAAGATTGGCAAGAACGATGCCATCGGCAAAGTCTTTGTGGGCTACAATAGCACCGGGGCGGAGCTGCGACATTGGTCAGATATGCTGGCCAACCCCAGGCGACCCATCGCCCAGTGGCACACCCTACAGGTAGAGGAGGAAGTTGACGCCATGCTGGCGGTCAAGAAATAAAGGAAAGAAGCCTTTCTGTATTTGCCCACATAGCGCTCTTTAGCCAGTATCTGTAAATACCTCAGTAATACAGGTCCTTCCATTTTTTCCAGCCATGCATTCCTAACACAATTCAGTGGTACTTCAAATCCCATTTTAATTTGCACAAATTTAAACGTAGAGAGCCCCTAAGCCCTTCATCATACCACTGCCCTCCAGACCTACTCTTCTTTTAAGCAATATGATGTGTAGATAGAGCATGACTGAAATTATTTATTGTATCAACACCGTTGTATATACCAGTATGCTGAAGATTTATTTCTAGTTTGTGTATTTGTATGTTGTAAGCGTTTCCTAATCTGTGTATATCTAGATGTTTTTAATAAGATGTTCTATTTTAAACTATGTAAATTGACTGAGATATAGGAGAGCTGATAATATATTATATGGTAAATAGAGTATCGTCTGCATTCCAGCAAAAATATCAACTCATAAGGCACTAGTACAGTGAAGCTGACATCTTAAAGGACAACTTAAACCTGAGCTTTCTACTGAGTCATATGACAACCAAGATACACTTCCACCACATACTCAGTGGGTGAATCCAACTTTGTAGAATTTCTTCACAGGCAAATTAGCATGATCTGAGCAGCATTCAGCCTGACCTCCAGGAAGCATAGCCACCAACCAGAGCAGCACCTGTCTGTACAGATCTGCAAAGCCCAAGTCAGGGCTTCCTCTCACATTCGAGGAAGCAACGGGAACAGGAGTCAATGATTTCATATTACTGCACATAGAGTAACAACATGATGGTGTTCTGTGTGTGCGTGTGTGTACGTGTGCATTCGTGTGGGGATGGGGTGGGTGGGAAGAAGCTGAGGGAAGAAGTCGGCATTTTGGAAATATTGCCTGACCATTTAAAAAGAAAAAAAGTAGCTCTCCGTTATCACCTTTCTACGAACGGGCATCCGGTGAATACTCTTCCAGATTTCACACCTCTAATAATTCCAAAAGGTTTGCACATTAGACTTTGTAACAAAATATTTTATTACACGAAGCCAGATTAGAAGGAATGCAGAATATTTTTAACACAGCTATCTGTGCTTACTACACAAAAGTACTTTGTGGTAAACAGACAGTATTGTGATTCCATCGAAAGAGGAAAAAAATAAACAATTAGCCATAGCTCTGGATGCACTTCGATGAAGCCAAGACAGACAGCTAGTGGTATCTTTTTATATGCTCTTTTTACGTAAATAAGTTTTAATTTGTCCTTTAAAAAAAGGTGAAACAAACCAAGAACAATTCTAGAAAACTGAAGCAACCTCTTCTGTACACTAGATGCTTGATTTAGGAGGCGTTTTTACGTGTTTTCAATGTTATTATGTAGTAAATGGCACTATAATTGAAGCTACTAGTCATTCCTTAAGAGTCTCAAAGGACTGCTCTGTGTAACACTGTGACTGCCGTGTGTGTGCTTAGACACGTGACGTAGTTTCCTCAGTGGATAGCACTCAATCTCTTCCGTAGCGATATTGTAACAATACTGCCATTCCCTTCTACTGCACTGCCCAAGGTGTGTGTAGCATAAACAGTTCTCATTACAAAGGACCAACTCAGAACTGCAAAGCTATGCATAGGACAAGAAAGGTGCAAAGAACGGGGTGAAACACACAGCATTTTGTCAAGCACTGTGCAATATTCCACATTTTTCCCCGCTATAGTAGACGGCCACTCGGCCACTACTATATCTCACGCAGCATCTAATCATTTCTCCTGCTCACTTCTGTGACCCATTTTAACTCCCAGGCCACAGAGAGTAGTGATGCTCTGAAGTGAACACTTACCTTCAAAACTGTCAAAACCAAACGGAGGAAAGCTAAGCATTAGCGTACGTTCAGACTTTAGGTGATCATGCCATGTTTCTAAAAACCGCAGAGAGAATTCCAAAAGGGCTGACGGGAAGCTTCAAACACGAGGCTGGCTGCGTCCTGACAAAACCAGAACTCCTGTCTTGTTCTTTCCTAATCAAAGAAGAGGCCAGTCCTTTGGCCTTTCAGCAGTCACAGCGAGCTCTTTAGGACTGGGTCAGACACGAAGGCCAAGGGGACAGTAACACCACCCTCTTCTGTGGATGGTCCAGACTTTCTTCAAAAGGTAGATCATAGAAAATGCCCTAGTCATTAGGTGAGATTAAATACCAGTTTGAACAGAAGGTTCAAATGAAAGTCCTTCCAATTTAAAAAGGCCAAACCATACCAAAGAGAGAGAGAGTTGATTGACCTTTTTAAAATTCCTTGAAGACCAGAAACTGGCCTGTAATTTCACCATGTTCAGCTCCAAGTTGCTCATGCTGAAACACACACTCAGAATCAAGCAGGTTCAAGCCCACCGAACACGCATCATTTCTTGCATTAAAACACGACGAATGCATTCTCTCGCAACACTGCCAGACATGGGATATTGTCACATAGAATTAGTTGGTACCGGGCCATCTTTCATGAGACAGTGACCGAACCTGTTTGAAGACCAAGATTCATCCTCCGATAAGCCACATGTACCTTTCTGACAAAGCTGTGTCAAGTATTAGAATCTGACGCTCTAGAAAGATCCTAGTTGCCTTTGTGTATATTTACTGCCTGCTTGAGTGTTTCTCTGTGTGGGTTTCCTCTGTATCCTGTAGAAACGTTGGGGTGTTCCCTTCTGCCATACGGCTCGCGACCCGCGAGCCAACAACTCTAGCTGTACTTTACCTTCATTTTTGATGAGGTGGTTCAAATTTTGTTTCACTTCGTGTAGTGAATTCCACAGTAGTTTTCTGATTGTTGTTAAAAATGACTTAACCTATTACACGGATATTCAATAAAAATGTTTTATTTCCTGTTGATGTGGCCGCCTTTTAACTCTTTCTTACCTGACTCAGTGGTGAGACAGTGGCCTACTGACTTTGGGCCATGCGGGAAATGGAGGTAGTTAAAACCGAAGCCTGCAGCGCAGGCTTCCTGGGCTGTGTCATTCCCAACACGTGTTTCTCTGTTCCCGGTTTATGATCAATTCATCGGGCGCACTCTCAGGCTTTCTGCTTTGCCCAGAACACATCCGCCAGGATTTTCACACTCCACAGCCTAAGTGACAGAAGCCCCTCCAGAATGGAACTAAAAATCAGATTCCTGAAACCCCACTTTCAAGGGAGAGCATGATGCATTATATTCCTTGCATACCGAAGGTCAAGCAGGTAAAATATCTTTCCCCTACTAAACAACCTTTACCAGGTGCCTACTGAGTACCATGGATGCTGGATAAACACCAAATGATGTAGTAAGGCACAGCTGGTTCCAACAGCCCATAGTCTCAAACAGCGATGTCAATGCAGTACCTCCAGACACTAAGATACCTACCATGAGTCCCTGAGGACTTGCACCAGAGCGACTGTAGTGGACACCGCAGTGTGACACCCCACCCCCAACCCCCACAGCTTCCCGTCAGCACCGAGGCGTTCAGCCTGCAGCTTCTAGAAGCCTCTGCCCTCTAAGAAGCTGCCTTACCTGGGGTTATGCCTCCTCCCGGGGGCAGCCCACACTCCGTGGTCTGAGCTACTTCTCACTCCTGTGCTGTCCAAGCCCAGAAGGCTGGTTGACAAGGCTTCTGCAGCTGTGCTGCCGTTCACCTGCTCCCTCTGCAGTCCTCACCCCTCCACAGGTGTTGTTCCCACGAGCACTCCCCGATCAAACTCCTTCATCTCAGAATCTGAGCCTGAGGAGCCCAGCCTCCTGTCAGGGAAGAGATGTGAAGGGAAGTTTCTAGAGAGACAGTAACATCAGAGGGCAGTCCTAAAGGAACAAGTAGCAGTCATCCAAGTCAGTGAGTGGGCAAGGCTCTGGCAAAATTTACCTTATCAAGGCTTAAAGTTGACCTACGATAAGGTCTCCGGCAGCTGTCCAGGCCATACGCCCCTCAGCAGGTTTTATTCTGCCCTGTCAGATAAGGGCAGGACGCCGTCCAAGCAGGTGAGACAGCCAAAGGAAAGGCCCCTGCACTACTGTACTCTGAGGACTCGATTGGAGAGTTCTAAATATAAGTTTGTTGCGGAAAAACGTGTTACAGCTGGACGTTACTACAGCTAAGTTGTGACAGCAACCTGGATACAGAGAGTTGGCTTATGACGTCACCAGGCCCAAAAAGCTTAACACTTCGAGCACTGGACCCCCTGTGTAGGTTTACACAGGACTTTTATAGGCTGCCGGTTTTACACTTTGCAACATCATATGCAAATAAAGTACAACAGAAGTTGACCAACCAGGAACAAGCTTTGTAGAAATAGGCCAATCAGTACTTCATTTGCATGGAGCTCATGGACCAATCAGAAGTTAGGGAAGTGGACCAATCAGAAGTGGACCAACCAAAACGTCGCAGGCACTGGTGTTGGGACCAACACACAGGCTCCACGCTGGAGATGCTGAACTGCCAGGAGCAGCTCACTCCTGCTAGAGGAAAGCCAACAGAAGCTAAGAGCAGGAAGAGGGTCCTTTCTCCTCTTCCACCTTCCACTTCAGTCAGTCCTCCCTGCGGCTGAGCTGAATCCGAGTCAGCGGCCAGAGTGTCTAGGGAGTAGCCCGCAGGGTCTTAGCGTCCGCCCGCACGAACACAGCAGAGCACAGCAGAGCACAGCAAGGTGGGAGTGAGGCTGGAGAAAAAGCAGGAAGGTGACCGACACATTCGCTGTCTCGGTGCATTCAGGCTGCTATCAGCAAGAACACTGTATACAGGGTGATTTAAACAACGTATATTTATTTCTCACAGTCCTGGGGGTGGGAAGTCCAGGACCAAGGCGCCAGCCAACTCCTTGCCTGGTGGGAAGTCGTCTCCGTGCTGCGTCCTCCCACAGCGGGAAGGACAAGGGCTCTCTGGGGTCCCTTTTATCAGGGCACGGTCCCATTCTTGAGGGTTTCATCCTCTTACCCAATCACCCACAAAGGTCCCACCTCCTAATACGATCCCTTTGAGTGTTAGGATTTCAACAGAGGAATTTCGGGATGACATTACATTCAGTTCATAACATGAGCAAACCTTTTAACAGCTGCATAGACTTCCTACCCACTCTTGTTTCTTCCTCAGAGGATTCAGGTGTTCCTATCTGAGCCACACCTGATGAGACAGATGCATAAAAATCACATCCTTACTCCATTTATGCAGAGAGGTGACTTAGAGATTTGAAAATTCCCACCATGATTGCTGTTACCCCCTCCCTGCAACGCATCATTATTACATATGCAGCGGACTCTGATGTTGAGCAACTGAATTTAAGCTGCACACAAATCTTTACCATAAAGCAGTCAGACGGTGATTTTGGAATAAGAAGGTTAAAAAAAAAAAAAGCAGGAAAATAAAAATGAGAAATAGCCTGATACTAAATGTACAAAGAAATTTTCCAAAGCCTACAGAATAATAATTATGCAGGAGGGAGCAGTAATACAAACACCAGGTGACTGTGGGGTGCTTCGTGTGATCAAAGTTCTGAGTCTGGCTGTCAGGTACCTGCATTTTAGCATCTGCATTTCGGCCATACCGATTTCTTCACGCTCCCCCACCAATACACGTCCCCACAGTTCCCACACTCAGCCTTCTTTGACAGTAACTGTCCTGCCAGCAAAGCCTTTTCCCCTATGCAAAGTGGACTCGCCCTTGCCAGGGTGCACACAAGGTTAAAGAATTTGTACTGAACAAGTTGGGACACGCTTCCTTCTCAGCCGTCCAGTTTACCTTGGTCCCTTTCCTACCTTCTCTGGCCTGGGAATGAAGCCAAGAGTTGACATCCTTCATTGGCAGGATTGTTAAGAGTGGCCTGTGGAAGAAACCCAATTCAAGCTGCATTAAGGAATTAAAGGGTGGTGGGGGAAAGGGTGCAGGGGAGGAAGAGAGAGAGAGAAAGACAGAGACAAAGAGAGACAGAGGCAGAGAGATGAACCGTTGGCTCATCTATCCAGAAAGTTCAAGGTATGATTACATCCAGGAACAGCTCCATCAAGGGCCTCAAACCATGTCAGCGTTCTCTTTCTCCACTCTCCCCCAATCCCCCATCCAACTCAGCTATCCCCAGTATTACTTCATTGTCAAGTGCCAGTGTCTCCACCACGGCCCCTTCAATCTTCTGTTCTTCAGGCTGAGCGCGTTTGCAGAGTGCTCTTTCCACAATTATGTTGCTCAAGTTCCCAGACCCGACTTACACGCCTGGGGCACATGCCCTCCTTAAAACCACTGTTGTGGCCCCACGATGCAGTGTTCACTTTGGCCAAGCCTAGGTCATGTTCCGGCCCAAGAGCCACAGAGATGGGGTGAGGACAGTTCCTCAGAGGAAAATCAAAGTGCTGTTACCAGGGAGACAAACTGGACACTGCAGACAAAAACCACACACGTCTTCCACTTTGTGGCCCTGGTATACTTCTGTCCTAAGGGGAGGGACGCTGAAGGCACAACCTCAGGCCACACACAGCAGATGTCCGGTCACTTCTCCTTTTCACCAAAAACACTATTAGAAAGGAAATTTTAAAAGTATGCACCACCTTTCAATTATCTGAAAACATTTGTTCACCTTCCTATTTATTGCCAAGAAAATCAAGCTTCTGCAGTGTATTTGAAGCAGGCTTTTGTAGCAAGCACTGAGATATTAACATAACTTTAGATTCCTGAATTTGTCAAAATAATTTGTTATTATTATAGAAACTTAGCGGGAAGAAAGGGACACAGAGAAGGGAAAAAAATCACTCTACGTACCTTTTTTGTTTTTCACAAATGGGCTGTTTTGGGCCATATACAATCACCTTTTAAATAGTTTTAATCACAGTGTGCATAGAATTTAGCATCAAATTCTTGAAAAATAAGACTTTTTTCTCGTTGCCACATAGTCTATCATTTTTATTTTTAATGGCCACCTGGCTTTTCTTCAGGAAGAGAAACAAAATGTATTCAACCCTTTCTCTGGTATCAAATGTTTAAGTTGTGACTTATTTTTTAAATAAATTACATGGCAGTGGATACTTTAGTGGAGATTTTATTTATGTATTTATTATTCTATGAATCTACTATGATCTATTTTCTCAAGGTAAGTTTCCAGAATTTTCCAAATTGGTTTCTTGGAAGTTGCCACCAAAATACACTGCCATTGGTGTTAATGTGTTCTGGTCTTCTCACAGCCTCCTCAGCTGTGGCCCTCATGCTTCAAATGTCTACAAGTGTGCAGGTTGTGGGCCTCGGTGAGGACAGGTCCAGAGCTGGCCTAGGAGTCTCTCCATCCCGGGGCCACTGCCCTCCTCACTCCTCCGGGCAGCTCGGTTAAAAATTAGTAGCAGGAGCAAAGCATTGGTGGAGAGAATGTCAAGGAAGAGAAGGCCCAGGACAAGGAGGGGTCAGACAGGACTCTTCCCTTGCTCTCACCTTCGCCTCAAATCCGGGAGATGCTGAGCGCAGAGGAGTTTCTGAGGTCCCTCCTGGTTTCTTCAAACCCCTCATTCAGACTTGCATCTTACACCGCTTTCAGCATCCCGGAAGCCTCATCAGCACCACCTCCCAAAGTCCAGCCTCACCTGCTCCCACTCTCATTACAGAGTGGAAAAAAAAAGCACCAGCCTTAGAGCCAGCAGCCTGGGTTCAAATCCTGCTTCACTCAGGGAGCTGCGTAGCCCCGGACAAGCCACTTGATTTGCAAGTTAGAGATAATGGATATTAAAACCTGGTATAAAATAAGCACTTGATTAATGGTTAACTGGTCTTTCTAAATCTAGCCCAGTGTCAGCAAACTTTGTCTGTAAAGCAAAGTATTGGGAGCTTTGTGGGAAATCTATTCTCTGTGGCATCCTTAAATGCTCTGTCTGCTAATCATCCATCCTTCCTTTCTTTCCAACCCTTTAAAAACGCCAAACCTTTTGCACTGGCTTCGGCAGCACACGTGTTAAAAATGTAAAACCCTTTTGTAGCTCACAGACCCTACACATACAAATGGCTAGGGTTTGCAGACCAGCTTCAAGTCACACCACTCTGCTTCTTAAAAATCTCCCCTCTTCCCCCTTCCCTACAGATGAGCATTTAATTCTTCAGCATTGCTTCCAACCACCTCCCACTCTCCCTTCAAGCCTCACCCTGTATTCTAGCTACACAATTCTCTGGACCAATCCACGCGATCTCACAGCCCCCTACCTCCACAAAGTTTGTCCCCGCCCCCTGACACTTCTTGACAGCATCCTGCAGGTGGGTGAACAAAATGGGAAGGGAAGGAAGGGTGCGGAGCCACTCAGGCAATTTGGGGAAGGAGAGAGGTGCGGCACTGATTTCCCAGCGTCACTTTCGGTGAAGCGCAGCCTCGGTTCTCAGGCTAGTCCATCAGCGCCGCCTTCTTCCAGCCCACGCAGAGCTCCTTCCAGACCCACGTGCCTCGGACTCTCAGGCCAACAACAACGTTCTCTAGAGTCACAATGCCTGAGAGACTCATCGTTTTCCTTGAACCTGGAAAAGAATTTCCTTTTTCATCCAGAGGGAAATGAACCCATTTCAGAATATGAAAGCACTGCTTCCTTCAGCAAATGTGAGAATGTCAGATGAATTACAAATTATAAAAGGGAACCGGACCATCAGCCCTTGACTAATTTCCTGTCAGTGTCACAGTCGCCTCATTTTCTCACATTTCCCTGAAACATGGGCGGCTGGCGTCTCATCGCCAGAACGCAGACTCAGGTGACTCAAATTAGGCAGGCTCAGGACAGTAATTTATGGGCTGAGT